AAGATAAAAAAAATAAAAATAAAATATGTTTTTTTTCTACAAAAAAAATTAAAAAAATTAATTTTTAAATACCAAAATTAAGACTTTTTTTGTCAAAATTGGGAAACAACTCATAATTAATTGATACCATTTTAAACGAGCACTGTGGTGTGCTAATCCTTCTTCACGCGTAACTGTCTTCTCAACTTAAATTGTTTTCGTAGATCCAAAAATTATATTTTTAATAAATTTTAATTAATTTTAAAATTTTATTAAAATGATAAGTTTTAATAGGTGACCAATCACACTTAACCAAAAAAGATTGGTGACGACTCTTCTTTTTGTTTTCAAATTCATCTAGCGAACTTTAAAACCATTATGACAGCTTGACAACTCCATTGGAGATCTCATTTTTTTAGAAAGTCAAATAAAAAATTAAGTATGTGTTATCTTTAATTTTGATTTAATGGCCTTAATTGGTATTTAACCTTAATTTTCTTGATTTTGATTTTTTTTAGATAGACAATAGTAATAAAAAATTTACATACATTTCATTTTAATTTGTTCATTATTTATTTTATGTATATATTATTGTCAATAAATTGTGAACCATATACTATAAACATCGTGATGTTATTTTCTCTCACACATATGATGACACATTTCATATCATGCTTGAGCTTTATTCCTGGACTTCGTTTCTTTTAGGAGGGAGTAGAGTACTTATACTCTCATGAGGTGATAACTTTTATAATGACAAATGAAATACTCACACTCAAATTGAACTATTTTCATTTGTAGCCTATAATGACAAGAGGATCGAGATGCTTTACTAGTCTTGTGTAGATGCTAGTAAGAAACAATTTGGAAACTTTTTAAACATATAAATTCTTAATCAGCATGTAGCAAGCCTTAAGGGACGGGCTTTAGGTAAAGCCATGCCAACTTTTTCTTGTAAAAATTACCTGAATTAAGGCACGAGAAAAACATTATAATATAATTTGTATTTAGATGTATGAATAGTGTAAATAAAACTAAAATAGTGTAAAAAAAAGAGAAATAAAAAAATCTTTTAATAAATTGACATATAGTTCAATATGACTAATGCTTATTCAAAATTTGCATTTTCGAAAAATATTTTTCAAATAAAAAACTATTTTCTAGTATTTTCCAACAAAAAATACAAAAATAAAATTAAAAAAGGATTTTTTAAATTATTTCTTTGTTTATTACCCAATTGAAGCCAACTCGTCATATTTTAATCTAATTAAAACTTAACATAGCATAACTAATAAAATCCAACAACTTATTTCATTTTTATCAACCAATAGTTATTTGACAAATAGAAAGCAATTAGGCAACACAATTATGAGATGTCTTTCAATTGAGAGTTGTCTCCACTTAGGGATAACTTTTATTGTATGTTATTTTTATATACATTTAAAAATATATTAATATCGTTACAATATCCATCTAAAAATGGTACCAATTAATTTTATATTATCCTAAAATGATCATAGCTAAATGCTTTTATTTTTAATTAAATTTCATTATTTAAACTATTAAAAGTTTTTAGGTTTTTTTTTTCAATATTTTAACAAAAATTTTAGAAAATTCTCTCACCTTAAGAGTGTATTTGGTTCAAAAAAATTCATCAATTTTTCCTTGAAATCTTGATGGTAGGTACTTGCTTTTAATGTTTAGTTCAAAGTAATCAGATTTCATTGGAAAATATTATATTCCCAATAGTACCTAAAGTTTCGGAATCAAAAACTCACATTTCCTTGTGGTGTTTTAGGATTTTGAGAGAAAAATTAACATATTTCCAAATTTAACCTGAATAAAAAATTTGTTACATATTCGTTACTCTTTTGAAAAGTAAGTTTGAAGCTCAATTTTAACTTTTTTTTTTTAAAATTATCTTATTTTTAATTTAGTTTTAATATGTAGCAATTAAGGCATTTCAAGAAAAAAAATGCCTTAATCTTTGAACAAACGCTTTATTTGATACATTTTTCAGAATCTTTACAGCATCAAATAAGGTATTTCTTTTTTTAAACTTAATTGATTATCAATTAAGGTGTTTCTTTTGAACAAACACTTTATTTGATACTTTTTCCAACATATTTACAAAAGTAAATAAGGCATTCAATTCTTCCAAAAATCATAATTGACTAATTTTTATATTTTAATACAGTAATTACGACTAGATATCTAGTTAAATATTATAAGTGGGTATATTTAATTAAAAAAATTAAAATATATATATATATATTTTTACTAAAGGTATCATTTGTCGTTTAGATTTTTTTATTACAGCAAAATGAAAGGCTGCCTAAAACTTATCAAAGTGATTATGGTAATTATACATGAATTAATGAACTAACATTCTCCCCAACCAAATGAATAAATCTGATTATGAGATACCATAAAAATCAAACAATACCTATGGTATCAAACTTTCTCGAGCATCATACTTTTTCTCGGAATCCAAGATTCTGTGGACCAAATGACCCCCAACAATATTAAAAAAAAGACATTCGTTCCTTTAAAGAGGCCATGTCATCGGATTAAGTTTATTTTATTTTTATTTTTGGTTTTACCAATCTTTACTTTTTGCTAAATATTTTATTAAAATTAAATAAAAATTTCTTTTTTATTGGAATATTTCCAAAATTTTTCCAATTCTTTTGATAAGATTTTAAAAAAAATTTCTTAGTTAGTAATTTCAAGAAAAATGCCACTTGCAATTTTCTTTTAATTTTATCATTAAAAGAATTTTCATTTATTCCCAAAATTTTATAAAACTGACATGATACAAATAAATAGATATACATTATAAAAAATTACAAATTTATTGTCTAATCCATATTTTTAGTTTTTTTTTTTTATGTTTTGAAATGATTTAAATATATATGTAAATAAACAAATAAACAAATAAATAAGTAAATTAACATATAAAAAAATAAAAAATAAACCAAAGAACAGAAAGTAAAAATAAAAATAAAATAAAATAAAACTTAAAAGAAAATGAAAAAAAAGTATCAAATAAAAAAATAAAACATAAAAAAAGTTAAATACCACTTGAAAATTAATGAACAACTCAATTGATGAGTTGCCTTTAAATTGAGAGTTACCCTTGTAAGGGATAGTTTTAAAATATAAAATAGGTATAGACTAGTTGTTGCTTTTCCCAAATTGCACTTAAAACTTAATAAACAGAATGATAATCTTTTTACAATTGTTTATTCTAGCAGCATAATTTTATGTGAAGGCTCCATTAATCTTAAAGGGAGAGATGAAAGTAAGGTTTTCATTCGTTGAATAAAAGTCATTGTTTTGCTTTTGTTGCCATTAATTTATTTATGTTTATACCCATTGCCTAGCTTTATGCACTTTTAGCTTTTAAAGCTAACAAGTTATCCCCAAACTTGAAAAAGTTAAGGATTCTTTCATTTCAATAGTAGTTTAGTTAGTTTAAACATTAGTTTACTATTGCTTCTACGGTAAAATAAATTTTGAATTAAAAAAACTGCAATTAAAAAATGCAACGAGAAATAGTAGTTAAGCTGTTTTGTATTCACAAGTTTTACAGTTTTTTCTTGCTTTAATTACAAGACTAGTACATGCGTTTCATGTAACCCTGTCTCCAGTTTACAATTATATTCCAAACTTGCTAACATATATTTGCTCTTGGCTATGACATCTTGATCCAAATAAGTTTGAAACCAAGCAATAAGCTTTACATTCTGGAAAAAAAATAAAAAATAAAAAGAAATCACTGTAAGTTTTGCATTTTATTTTTATTTAATGCTTAATTGCTTACAAAATGCACTTTATATATTTATATTTATAAAATCCGCTTGACTTGAGATAATGTTTCAGGCAGAATTCACAATTCACAAACACAATTAAAGTGGTCAAGCTGCTCCAGATAGACATAATTGGGTTTGCTGTTGCATATATTAGAAGCCCCGGAGGAATGCTGCTTACAAGTAAGTATAACTGCAAATAATTATATTAGAGCAGTAGTCTGTTGATTGTTTACTGAATAAAATTATATATGGGAAGGTAAAATTGTTTGATATAAGATCCAAGTTTATCACTAATCTTTGAATAGATGTAATTTTTTCTTTATACTTTTTAATTTAATTAAAAATATCAAAAGTTAACGGTAAAAAAAAAAATTCTATTTTACATAATGGTTTTTTAATTAAATTGAAAAGTATAGTGGTAATATTGCATCCATTTAGAGAACGACGGTTAATTTGATTCATTATCCCCGGTAAAATGATAAATTTGGATCTTATTCCTAATTTGGTACAGGTAATTTTGTTTATTTTTGAAGTACAAATTTTGTTTGATTGATATTTCTATTATTGTTTTGCTATTTTGAAGTAAAAAGAAAAAATATAGGATAAAATATATTTATATATATATTTGCATAATTAAAACTTTAAAATATTTACTCGAATGAATCATATTAAGTTCAAATCCAAAAAGATAATTGGGTCGATAATAAATCTTATTTAATTAAAAATATTTAAAAATTTTTGGATAAAATGGTGCGTTTATATTTTTGTATAATTAATTTGAGATTAAGATCAAATTTGACATTATATTGTAGATCAATTTTGAATTTTGTTATTTTAATTTTGTTGGAATTTTCATTGCATTTTTAATGTTATTGATTTTTGGATGAAAAAAACAAAACCAATGAAAAATTTTCATTTGCCTAATAGAATATTTCTTGTAATATTTCAGTTCCGTTATTTTTATCCAAAAATCTATGAAATTGAAAATAGAATAGTAGAATTTGCCATTTGCCTTAACAAATATTTTAATTTTGTTTTCTTTTTCAAAACATCAATATAATTAAAAATAAAACGATCAAATTCAAAATTAAATTACAATATAATAGCATATTTTACTTTAATCCAATTTATTTCTTACACTTTTTCACAACCAAATTAACGTTTGCATAATGTTACTAATTTTCATTTTTCTTGGTTATTTTGAACATGTTGCGTTTTTCAGTTGCCTGCGCTCTGTTTTTCACCGAGGTCAAGAATGAAACATTTCAGAAAGTTTTATCAGATGCTATGAAATCTCTTTGGATAAAATGGGAGCTTCGAGCCATGGTTGTAGTAAGCCTTTGCGTTCAACTTACACTTGTCAAATTGGGGAATCGTCGACAATACAGTGGCAAAAGATCAGTGTATGCATCAATCATTGTATGGTTAATGTACTTGTTTGCAGATTGGATGGCAACAGTTGCTCTAAGCACCCTCCTTAAAAGCAGCAAGGAACAATTAACAAGTCCATTGGTTATATTTTGGGCACCTTTCCTACTGTTGCACCTTGGCGGCCCTGATACAATCACTGCTTACTCCATGTCAGATAATGAGCTTTGGCTCAGACATTTCTTCGGCCTATGTTTCCAAATTTTCGTTGCTCTTTATGTCTATGTCAAGTTCTGGACCATAGCCATAACTACTATCACATATATGGCAATTCCAATATTCATTGTTGGGATTATCAAGTATGGGGAAAGAGTTTGGATTCTTTTCAGAGCTAGCCGTGCTCAGCTTCGAAAGTCGGTTTTCATAACTCCAACCAATTCAGAGATAGACGATGTCCTTTTGGGGTACGATCCGCAGAGATTAGGGGTAGTTCAGCTGGATGATTATTTACAAGGCAAAGGAATTCGTTTGGAAAACAGATACCTTCATCGAGCATCTCTATCATTTACGATGTTCAGGCCTCTATTTTCAGACATCAAACTCAGGATTTACGGACAGTTAAGTGGTATATTTACATTAGAGGATCATATGACTGTGGAAGAGGCCTTCAGATTGGTAGATGTTGAACTAGGATTCTTGTATGATTTGCTCTACACCAAGATTCCTATTGTTCTATCTCGAAATGGTGTGGTTCGACGGTCCATCTGCTCGTCCTTCCTTTTTTCCATACTAATTGCCTTCTCAATCATCATTGGCAAGCCTGGCCACCCAACAGATGACATTGCCAAGCATGACTACTCGAAAGTTGACATTGCCATATCGTATTTGCTCTTAGTTGGAGCTATCTTTTTGGAAATATATTCAGCATTTTTGCATGTGAGCTCCGACAGGGGAATTCTGTGGTTGACTCGCCGGGACAACAGGCTACTTAGGGCAATTGGATCCAGTTTGGTTTCTGTAACTAAGACCAAAAGTGGGATAGAATCAATGGCACAACACAGCCTATTAGACTATTGCGTCAAGGCCAAGTCAACCAAGTTTATTACTTCGGTTGCAAGCATATTTGACACTGAGGACGTGGTGGGCAAGTATCGACATACAACTTGGAAAGATGTGAGTCTTGATTTGAAGAGCTTCATCTACACTCATCTATTGGAGAAATGGAATAAATATAAACAGAAAGGTTTTGATTTCAAATATATGTTACAGTTATTGAATGAGAGAGGCCATGAAGTTCTGGTTGAGAAAGGTCTCGAGGAAGATTTTGGTTGGAGCATAGGGGGTGTAGAATTTACGCACAGTCTCCTCGTTTGGCACGTCGCGACGGATCTTACTTTTCGCGACGATCATCACAAAAATTTAGTTGGCAATCTTGGTCCATACTGCAAAGTTAGCAAGCTTTTATCTGATTATATGATGTACCTTCTTTTCATGAGTCCATCAATGCTTCCCGAAGGCATTAGTCAGATAAGGCACCGAGATACTTGCATAGAAGCAATGAATTTCTTTCATAAGGGATTAGAACACAAGGAAGTTGTCCAGGCTTTATTTGATATCGATACAGGATTTCGATCATTTTTTATAAGGATGGGAAGTCAAAGGAAGTCCGTATTCTTCGAAGGATGTCAGATTGCTGATCAATTGCGGAAACTTGTAACGCAATACCGATGGGATAATGAAGAAAAATGGGAAATGATTGGTCATATATGGCTTGAAATGCTTACTTATGCAGCAAGTCAGTGCACCTGGAGAGAGCATTCGAAGCAAATGAAGCAAGGTGCGGAATTGCTCACTCATGTTGCCCTTCTCATGGCACATCTTGGTTTAAGCAAGAATATCTCTATGGTGGATCTTCCCTCCGATCTCCAAGAGGCAAATTATCAACCTCGGTGGGATTGGGACAAACTTGACCGAATGAAGTATTACTTGGTTTAAAATGAAACTAGTTTTTTCCCTTGTTAGATCAAAAAATATTTACTAAATAAACACGTTTTGCCACGTCAGTTGGTTTGTTAATGATTTGTATCATCAAAGTCAGTTGTCGTCAGCTTTTTGATCTTTGGTCAATCAGTACTCTTTTATTCTTCTTACATACTTTAATTCCTCTCTTTGAATATTACTGACAATAGGATCCGCTTCGCCCTGTCTATTATAATAATTTTTTATATTTTATTAAATTGATATTAGTTTGAATTAAAAGTAAGAGTTATACATGTAATTACTTTTTTTTAAAAAAATTGCCACTTATTTTTCATACTTTTGTTTTTTTATCACTTTTTATATATCTGTTTATTGTCTTTTTTTTTTTTTTTATAAGTTATAATGAATTTTGAATAGCTTTATTTATCCATAAGTAAAATTGTTGAAAATATAATAAGTAAAATTGGATACAAATAATAATTTTATTTATTGGACTTTGTAAAGTACAATCCCTTTTAAAGATTCTTTGATCTTGAGGCTTTAATCTTCAAATTTTTCTTAGATTTTTTTGTTGAAATTTATCTTCATGCATAGTTTGACACCTTGCATTCATGACTCCAATCATGCAATTTGGCTAGCTTGCCATGTTAGACTAAACATTCATTCATATTGACATTTTCTAAATACCAACTTCGCTAGCATAATATAGGTCACTTTTCTTATCATTGTCAAATTTTATCAAGCGGTTTTTTTGATAAAAAGTGTTCGCTGTCACCATCCGAATTATGTATGCGAGTTATTGAACAAATCGGACAAGTTTAAGCTTAGGAGACGTTAAACTAGTGAGTCAGAGAGAACTAGGACTCATCATATTAACTTTGTTGGAAAGTACTACAAAAAAGTTGCATTGATGTTAACAACAAATTGTGCAGGACATCATAAGGATTAGGTGTTAGAAAAAAATAAATAAGAGAAGAGAAAAAATAAAAAAGAATTTTGGCTTTGAGACATAAAGAATACTTTTTTAAAGATAATTATGTATCTAAGATACAATAAAATCTCAAAATTCTTTAAGCAAAAGTAATGAAAATGGTTATATTGAAAGATTTATTTATAATGAATGAACAAATATAACTTTTATCCAAATTGTTATAACATTTTGTATAATCATGACTTTTATGAAAAATAATCTATTTATATTCAGACAATTATGATCATTTGTCATATGATAATTATTTTGTTTAAACATAATTATTTAAAATATGAATAAAATTAATACAAAAATTAATTTTATTCATCAATAATTAAATCTTTCTATAATGTGGGATGCACCACATTCTAAACTACTAATAATCTCTCACTAGTTTGAAATGTTAGTGTTTAATCTTTAACCTTCCACACAAATAAATATTATAAATACAAAAATGTACCTCTTAATTTAAACTTTCAATTAACACATATATCTTAGAATTTTAATGAAGTTGATGGTATCCATAGATTAAACATCAACTCTTAATGTTAGAATTGAAGATACAATACACATAATACTTATTTATTATGCTATCAGAGGTTTATAACCGTTTTAGCACTATTATAGTCATGTGTTTATCCTGTTCATAAATATTTATAAGAGAAACCCCAATTCATTTTATTGAAACAGCATCACTTCTATGTTTATATAGTAAAGTTTTCATTATGTCTCTATTGCTTTAGATATTTAAAACTCCATTATGAGTATAAAAACTCATCCTCTACACGCAATGGATCACACTAGTTTTTGAATGGATTTTATTAGTGCTTAACAAACACATAATAACAACTTATTTTTACTCATTAAACTTTGTAATTAGAGGTTACTAATTCAAAGTTGGGTTTCCATTATTGGTGTCTAATGGTAAGGATTTAAATCCATTCTACTTGTAGTACAACTAACCAAATATCTTGGAATTCAATTTTCTTTTATGGTAATTACCCACACTTAAGATTGAATCTTTAATATAATCATTTCAGGCTAATATATCCAAAATTTTCATTTTGCATATCATTTACATACTTTAGACATTGTTGCTTTATTTTATCATTTTAAGAAATTGTTGGTTTTGGTTATGGCCACAACTCTATACTCATAAATTTCAACCACTGTATTTCTATACTTTTAGATATCTTTAATATAATTATACTTCTAGTGCAATTGGATAAACTCAATGAATAAACCAAACCATTTTAGTCCTTTAAGATTTTAAGAACCTTTTTATGATTTTACTTTAATAAGTGTACTAAACTTATTAGCTTGTATAATTTGCTCATAAAATTATATTAAAATCTTACAATAATATGGTGGTAATTTTTATTCTTTCGATTCTTATCACCCCTACCATGTGCAAGTATGCATTCTTTTATTAAAGAATATCTTATTCAATTATCAGGATATCATATATACTTAATCAAGTTGCCATTTCATTTATCTTTTCACTATTTGGTAGTTTTTTTTTTTTAAAGTAGGAGGCCTCTAAATTCCACCCTTAGTGAAAGATAACTAGAAAATATTTTATATCTTAATTTTTCTTTTTGTAAAAGTTTCAAAACTTTTATATTTTAACTAAATATAAGAGTTTAAATCAATAAGCAAATTTCAAATATAATTATGCTTCTATAGTTTTCTTTTAAGACTTTTTATGTTAATTCATAAATACTTATGTGAATCTATTTCATCATGAACACTATTAATAATTTTTATTACCCTAAACAAAACCATTTTCACCACCCAAATGGATCAAATAGCATTCTTTTTGCTATTACAAAAGTTTTCATATTCATAAGATCTTTGCATTACTTTTGGCTTTCAAAGTAACTATAATTTAAAATTTTCACTATATTTCCAAACTTTTAATAAAGCCATAGATAGTAAATCATTTGTACAATCCATGAATTAGACCATATATATTAAAAAAAATTATCACAATATGATCAACATTGTCGCATCAATTTTGTCTAATGGATATTCTAAGCTAACCATAATAATCAACATTATACCTACAAATCATGTAGATTTTGGCTATTAAAGTTATCTTATTTATAATGATGGTTGTTAAGGTAAACCAATTATCTCAAACATTATCATGAGTTTCCAATGCATATATTAATTACCCAATGGCTAATTCCAAGTTCATGACTATTGAAACCTCTAAACTTGATTTCAAAATTTTATGAGAACTTTCTCCACCCTTGTGTAGCCTAAGTATATATCTCTATTATTTACCACTTTTAATTGGTCATAATATTTTCGGATATATAACAATTCAAACTTTACTCATAAGACCAATACGCCTATGTGTAATAAAAGTCTATAGTATATTTAACTCCAATTTCAAATACTTTCACAATCATTTTGTGATCAATATGTTTATATTTAAATCACCATATTAATGCAAGTCATGAAACATGAATACAAAGAATCATTTTCATAAAATAACATAAACAATAATTATAATATGAGTTCTACTCATATTTCATGCAAAACTCATGATGAATTTATATTGGTTAAATCATTGATTGGCTAACTCTAAAGTTTATGACTTTCACAAGCTAATATCATTATCTAAGCTCACATTTTAATATGGTATATAACTAGCCACATCTTTGCCATTATCATGAAACTATTGAAAACCACAGAAACTTGTGTACTTTTCATTTTAACAGTCTACAAAAGGTCATTTTTCCTAGTACAAGAAGCAAAAATGTCTTTGTTTTCTTTAACCAATAATGATTTAATTGAATGGTGGCATTCTATCTCTATAGTCCATATCTTTCTTATATGTATAAGAAAGAAAATTCCATCACATTCATTTCATTTTTGTAATATATGGCAAACTGTACCAATGTTCTCTATGCCATCATAAAATGAAATTAAACACATGCATGTATCGGTACCTTTGGAATATTGAATTTGCATGTTTTTTTCTAATTTATAAATATGGCTAATTTGATAATGATGAGCATCCTTCAAAATGCTAGTAACCAATAAATATTTTAATATTTTTTAATGACATGCCTTTTCTTTTAATCAATCATCTAATTAGCCCAAATTCTTGACCAAATTTTAGTTAGTGATACTAACATGAAAGTTACACAATATAGGGATGCCATAGATATACATACTTAATGTATTTTACATTGCCACCAGACATAATTCTTCATGAAATTATATATTCATTGCATATATTAAACTTGCATTAATTTATTGCATTATAATTCAAACAATTTATAAATGCTATCATCAACGGGAACAATATTACAGAATAAATCTTATAGTTATAATAGTTTGATATTTTTTTTTAAACAAGCATATCTTTAATCTCCTACATTTTGTAAGCGAATTCCATCAATCATAATTATATAGCAGGAACATTTATATTCCAAATTCTTGAATTTATTTGTCTTGTTTTGGCCATCAAACACAAATTGAGTTGTACTTTAAACCTTTTCTTTATGATTCACACAATTCAATTTTATAAACCACTATATTGTCCAACCGTGGCTATAAAATTATTGTTTTGTGTTAATATTTGAGACTTTTCATTTTTCTTTAATTTCTAATTTCTTTTCCTAGTGATATAGAATCATAATTTGCATATCTAGTTTATGTAGCAATAAACTTTTATTTCCTTGGCTTGCAAAGAAAAATGAACAACTAGAGGCTTAAGTTGATGAAAAATTCATTCACATGCCACATTTAATGTCGTATTCAAGCCACGCCTCTCATATTGATTAAATTTTAATGATAAATCATAATTTTGTCCTTTACTTTAATCAACAGCCTTTAATCAAAATTTCTCATAAACTTGTGAAAATAAAACCTTAAGATTGTTAGAACTTGGGGTTTAGAAAAATCATGAGAAATTGAGGAAAGGCTTCAAGGCGTGTAATGGTGCCACTTTCCTTAAAGTTTTATTCGCCTTTACCACTTGCTTAATTGGTGTACAAAAAAGTTATTGGTAACAAACCTCGAAAATACAATGAAGTCCAATGATTGACAAAATATAATAAGCCTATAAAAGATTCATAACCAAAGCTAGCAAGCATTCCATCTTTATTTTATGCTTATGACCATTCAATGCTATGATAAAAAAATTCCACATATAA